GTTGGACGGGATAAAGTGCTGAGAAGCCTGGATGGAAGGGGCTGCTGAGAGACACAGTCTGGTGGATTTGCATTATGTTCTTGCATCTCTCAAGGCCCTTGCTGCCAAAATGCAGCCAGCTCTGGGATGGAACACAGCCACCATTCAACATGGCTACAAAGCAGCCTGTTTCATCTATGCTCTTTCCAGATGTGGTTATTAAAACAGAATAGAAGAATAGCAGAAGTACACTCCGATCTCATGCTCAGAGGTTTCTTGTTCGTTCTGCCTCCACGCCCCTTAGCACTGAGACCTGGAAGTGAGTCCGAATGTAGAAGGGGGCCGGGGTGGGGGGGGGCGGAGTGGACAGGCACAATGTGATCCTGTCCAAACGGGAGCTGGGCCAGGACACCCAGGCTAAGAACAGCTCCCTCTACGGCCCTTCTGGAGCGGGGGTCACTCCGGAGCTCCACAGCAGAACCCCAGTCCCTTGTGAAATCAACACAGCCCACGTGGCAGAGCGAGCACCCACGCAGAGCACGACTGGGCCTGACTCTGCTTTGCTTGCAAACTGACCGGTCCGAAGCAGAGAGTCTCCAGGCCTCATAACTTTTCCCTTTCGTCTGGAATGAGTTTGAGCGTGGCATGTGTGCACCCACACACACACATACACACACACACACACGCATGCGCACACACGCACGCAGATACACACACACACACGCACGCATGCACAGGGGCAATTCACCAGCTAGGACTTACCCCTCTTCCCAGAAGCCAGTCTCCCTCTTGCAGCACCCACCGCGCTCTCCCAGGAAGGGCTGCTGAGCGCCAGGGCTGCCGTGTTCTCCAGCAACCCTCTGACTCGAGTTGAGCTGCGAGTTTGTCCGCGGCGCTCACCACATCCTCTGGGCTCTCAGCTCACAGAGTGGCTCCCCTACCTGCTTGTTTCCCTTTGTGGCCCGCAGATGCAGGCGGGAGGTTAATGTTTATTGATCGAGGGGAAAATAAACATGCGAGAGGGCAGAGGGAGGGCGTTTCTATTTATTTATTCCAGGTCGCCTGGAGTGGAACCGGCCCCCCTCCCCAGGCAGAGGCCCAGAGGAAACTCAGCAGATGTAACTTCTTAGAAAGAAACCAGCGAATGATTAATCTGCGCCGCCTGGTAGGAATCTGAGCCCCCCCAGCAGCGTGATCGCAGCTCAGCCTCCCGTGGTCCGCTGCCACCCGAGGGCAAGAGCAGCCGACGCAGCTGGAAAGGCCTCGGGCCTGGCGAGAGCTGCTTGCTCTGGAGAGGTTTTGGAGCGGAAGGGAAGAGAAGTTGCTCTTCCATCCCCAGCACATTCTTACCCTAAACAGCTGTTCTTGGAAAGAGCTTCAGGTCAGAGTTGATCTCTACTCTGGCCTGGGTCTACACCTTCTTCAGAGTTCTTTGTATCCCAGTAGGGTAGGCCAGGTAGTTTCAAAGGCTTCCCCCAGGGCAGGGACCCTTAGTTCTGCCTCCCCCATCTCCATGGAAAAATACCAGGTTCAAGATGGATCCCAGTAGCAGGTGGCCTGGTCACATGTCTTTCTAGGACCAACCACAGTTTGGGCTTACAGGACAAACACGCCCATTCACAGGTTGTTGGTTTGAGCACTGAGTCATTAAGTACCGGAAGTGTCACTAATGGCCCTCGTCAGCACATTTAGAATTACAAGCAGATCCGCACTTGTATTTCTGACGTCCCGGACGTGCACAAACGCCGGATATACAGATCCAGCAGACTGTGCTACACGATGCATTGCGAATCATGCATATTCGTATTCCTAAGCCAATTTTCATTAAGCCTGGGGGCGTGACACCCCTCCTTTGTTCCCAAGTGGGGTGATAAACTGCCGGCCTCGGTCCATCAGTCCAGTCCAACTACCCCTTGCCCACCAGGCTCAGGGCCGGCTCTGGGATCGGGCGTTTTCAGGCAGTGCCTGGGTGCTTCTCACATGCCTAGATCTGAACCCAGGGCCAGGCTCACTCGGGCCGGCAGCCCTGGGCCAGCCCACTCCTGGTTTTGTGCCTGTGACCCACGGGTCCCGGTGGGGCCCCCCGCGCAGGGGGGGGGGGAGGCACCACTGACCTCTGCTGATGCTATTGCTGCTCCCCGACCAGAACCCCCGCCCTGAGGTGCGGAGCTCTGCCCAGACAGAGGTCGCCCCTCGTGTCCCCTTTGGCGCTGGTCGCTCTATGGGCGAGGCCAGCAGCAGGCCAGCCCCACGTCGGCGATAGGAAGATTATCCCTCTCGGAGGGTCCCTCAGGACTCTCGGCGCAGGTCTACGGGGCTGCCTTCGCAGCTCCATCAGCCTCGCGGCCTCCTGGGAGCAACGTCCCTGATCCCAGCCGGGGAGCTGACCCCCCGCCTCCCACCATTGACAGACGGTGCAGGGGCCACAGGCGTCCGAGTGCTCACCGGGCTTGGCGGCTCCGGGAGGGGCAGAGGACAGGCCACCGGCC